TATATATAAATAAACTATATAAGAATAAAGCAATACATTTTTAGTATTCTCGTGCTAATGGCAAATGTAATCTATTTTTTCCAATAAATTGTCTCATGATCCTCTTTCGTAATTATATAAAGCAAATGTCATTTAAAAAAAGATTTATTAATTAATATGATTATTTTGAATTATAAAATTTATTCATTTATCAAATATTTTATCATAAACATATGTTTCTAAAACTACCAAACTATAATCAATAATATTTATATCAAAATCATTGCTACTGCTTTAGAACTAAATAAAAATTTATGTTTGAACTCTTAAAATATCGTTTTAGTTAAAGTTAAATAATTAAATTTTGTTTACTGTAAACATACTTTAACTTCGAAATTTAGCATAGAGAAATTTCATCTTCTTACAAAAATCGAGATATCGCATTTCCTATCAAAACAAAAAGAACTTCATTTTCCCATTAAACTGAGAAATTAGCTATTCCCGCCAAAACCAAAAAATTTATTTTCTCGTCAAACCTAAAACCTAAAATTTCATTTTCCCGCGAGAACCTGTGTTTTTCTACCAAAGCCGAAAAATTACGTCTTTTCACAAAAAAACAAAAAAAAATTCATCTTTCTGCAAAAACCCAAAAAAAAATTGTATTTTCCTGCCAAAATCAAAAATTTTATTTTTCCTGCGAAAACTGAAAAATCGTCTATTCCTGCCAAAAAAAAAAAAAAACCATTTTCTCGTCAAACTCAGAATCACGCTTTTCTACAAAAATAAATAAACTACAACTTCCTGCGAAAACCAAAAATTGCATTATCTCCCGTGAAATTGTGTTTTTCCGCGAAAACTAAGAAATTGTTATGTTTTTATCGGTTCAGATTTTTGCTGATGTGTGAGCTTCTTATAACATAAGGCTTTTTGCGTTGTTGTCATGGAAGCATAGTTGATGCTGAACCTACACTTTTCCAATCATATACGTCTATGTCAAACAAACAAATCGCTATAATTTTTTTATTATTTATTTGTTGTTATTTATTATTTGGATTTGATTTTGGCAAAAAAAAGAAAACAATAATTTATTTTTTTATTTGGGTTTGATTTGGCAAAAAATAAAATAATAATTTTTTATTTACTGTTATTAATTATTTGGGCTTGGGTTTGGTAAAAAATAAAACAAAAATTAATAGAAAAAATAATTGGGTTTTTAATGAGTTTAAGTTTAAAAATTAAAATAAGTATATGAGATGTATTAATAAAATATTTTGATTGGTGATTATTTTTGCTGAAGTGTCATGTTTATAAAGCTTAAAAAAGCTGAGGTGTCAAGCCATGGAGAGACTTTAGTGTTATTGTTGTGTTGATTATCTAGTTTTCTCCTCTCTTACATTTATAACAAAATTAATACATAGTAAATAAATGGCATATCTATTATCTAATACTATCTTACCATTTATTTTAATTTTGAATATCAAATAAATCTTTAATACTTTAATTTAGCCAAGACTAATAATAAGAATGTTTGGACTAATATCGTAATCACACATAGAAAATTTGTAGCTAGATCATTATGTGATCGTCAACATAACATAAATGATAATTTGTAAATGAAAAATAATTCTCCAAAACTATTCTCTATTAATAAAAAGGGTATATAGGAAAAATGATATTTTTTTTCTCCCATATGTGGTTTCACGAATAAAAACGTCATCTTTTGACTTGGTTGCATTACCTCGGTCTTCTATAATTCGTGCAAGTTTACGAGTGGTAGAAATTATAACCACATTTGAATTCTTTATAAAGTAACAATTAAAATCTGTTCGGGCAACTAATGATTGATAAATGATGCCTAAACTTCAAATTAAAATGCATGGAAAACGATATATGAGATAGAACGTAGTATCGTCATATTGAATTCGTAATCGAGACTTTACTTTTGCACTAGAGAATGTTTGGACGAAAAAAGAAGCTCCTATAGCTACAGTCTACAGAAAAACATTAGTTGACGTTCATAACTAAAGCATTATTGACTTACTAGGACAAAACAAAATTAGAAAATAAATTTGTCATTGCTGCACTAGGTAAATCTTATAGAAAAAAATTCAGATACTTTCGGAAAAAAACTTCAAGTAGAAGTCATTTTTTTTGTCAAAAGGTTGTTTTATTGTACGAAGGGTTATTTCTTAGAAATATCGTATGGGTTAATCAAATTTATTAGAAAATATATATATAAAAAAAAGAGAGTTGGGAAAAAGCCAAAATGAGAAAGGATAAGAGCATATAAAAGATGAGTGGGCATATGAAAAGGTTTGCTGATGATATGCATCAACCCTTAATATTAGTTGTTTCTAGGGTACTAATAATGTAGCATATACGCCATTTCTGGCAGTCTCTTTCTGAAAGAGATGTTTAGCGTTTATATACGAAACGGCTGATTATTAGAGAGATGAGAAGAAAATCGAATGCCGCAAAACAAAAAAGAGAGAGGATAAAATATAGAGACAAATGGCTAGATCTCTCTTTTTATATATACTATAAGATAAAAAAAATAAAAGTTAAGCCATTGTGAATGACAGGTTTTATCTTTTTCATGCTTCTTTTCCCTTTCTTTCCGTCTTTTGATACAGAATAAAGTTAATATCCATACTAAGATTCAGTCATTCCTGTAAAAAAAATTGTTTTTATATGTTGAAATTTAAAAGAAACGAGATTAATATTATAAGTTTTGATTGGTGACGTACAAAGAACAATTCGATTTTACTTGCGTTTAGCAATGCCATAGCATACTGCATAAGAAAAAGAAAAAACTAAAATTGAATGTTTAGTCATTTGTGAATTTTCTTTTACAGAATTTTTTTTTTAAAAAGAGCGGCCAAAACCAATGAAGAATATAGATTATGTGGTCTAACTTCATCAAACAAAGCAACTATTTGTACTCAAAATGATAGTAGAAACTAGAAAATATCAAAGTTGGATATTTAGTAACCATTCAACGGTTGTTTTATTGTGTTTGGTGTAAGTTTAACCCCTTTCATTTGTTCTATTGCAAGTTTGTAACATTGAAAGACTATATACTTTCAAATAACAAAGTAAATAGTATATTCTAAAAAACAACGAGCGATATAGATAAAACCGTCGCCATGAAAAAGACAAGCTAGCATGTGTAGATTGATATATAAATGTAATGAAGGAAGACGAGAGCGACAAATCAGGAATGAGGCTACTCAGCTTGCCCCCACAGAAATACCCTAATCACGCTTTCATGATTACGAATCTATATGATAATGAACGATATTAAGAAAAGTTAAAACAAATACTTAACCATCAACGTAAACATATATATTAACACAAGTGCGTTATTTTCAATAAGAAAATAACGAAAAAATATAATTGTGACAAACTTACCCCCAAAAACAAACAACCTGGTTCGTTTTTTTCCGATTTTTAATTAATAATTTAAAGGTAGAGGACAGAGCCCATTATTCATATTTATTTATTTTCCCTTGGACTAGTTCCCACTAAAAGTTCCTAACAGAAAGCTGGTTGTTTGCTTTACATATGGGGCTATGCATTTTAGTCACTCAAATTTACAAGCAAATTATATATATATATATATGTATATATACGCAAAATGAACTACATTACACTCTTACACATGTACACACACACATATATAAAAATATCATGTGTCTCCGTTAGAAATTCATAAATCGATCTGAAAAAGGTTTTGAATCACCACTAGTTCACACAAATCATCGATTTAAATGATATTGTTTTTAGTTGTCTTCAGATATCCAGTTCTCCTTACCAGCTGGAACATCGGAAAAACAAGATTATTTTTAAGTTAAGGTTATTTCTATTACAAAAACTACAATTTTATAGAAGATGATTCTATGACTTTGACTTTTAAAGACTTGAGCAATTGACAAACTGTGCGTTGGTTCAGAAATGCTGAACCAAACCGTGTGACAAAATATATAATCGGATTTTCTACATTTGAAATGTGGAACTAAACTAGATATAGACAAATGTATATATATATATATATATAAGCGGGTGTAGGATCAATTTTTATAAGGGACAGATCATGTAAAATCAAAAACAGATTAGAACCATAAAATTTGATTTTAGCAATATAACACTAAAATAAAAAAATTCATTTGGGACAACTGCCCCCCCCCCCCCCCCCCCCCCCCCCCCCCCCCCCCCTCCCCTCCCCTCATAATTTTCATGTGGCTCCGCCACTATATATATATATATTGCAATGTGAAAAGGATAAAAACATAATGCTTTTCTAAAACTTCATCCTTACTAAATTTATCTAATAATTTCCCAAACTCTTTACCTTACTGATAAGACAGGATTTTTTTTTGTTTGTTATAGGACAGAACGGAATTACTTGTAATATTTTAGTTATACAGTAAAAAGTCCTACAAAGTAAGATAGTTTTGTTTGTTAAAGGACAGAACGGAATTACTTGTAATATTTTAGTTATACAGTAAAAGTCTTTGGTTATTATTATTCCAACTTATAGACTTCTCTTTTCTCTTCATACTAAGACCTTGTAAATCATATATATTATTCGACAGAGGGAGCCTTATAGGCGAAGAAACGTTCCCCCACTCAAACCCTAAAAAGGGAATCACAACAAAATAATATGTATATACATATATATATATATATACACTGGCCACATACGCATATACAAATAATGCATGAGAGTGGGAAATTATATAAAAAAGATATAAAGCATAAGAACATGACCCATGTTTTAAAAAGCATTATGTTCTCGCTTTATCTTTGTGCTCTTTCTCTATCATCCTCTTCTCTCTAAACATCTATCTTCTCTCTTTCTCTTTTGGTTCTGTGCTCTCCTCACAATTTCTCTTTACCCTTTGGTTCCCTTCTTTCGTTTTAATTTTGATTCTCCCACCATTTTTGTTCTTTTGAGTTTTAAAGATCCATCGAACTTTATTAAAGAAAGAAGAACAAAGAGACAAAAGGGAAGAAGAACAATGGTTTTCTCATCCGTCCCAAGTTTTTTAGATCCACCAATTAATTGGACTCAGGTTCTTTGATCTTCCATTACCTAATCCTCTCTTTACTTTCTTTTATGTGTGGTTTTTCCTCCTCTCTTAAATTCTCCATTGAGTGTTTTGATTCTTATTTTAATAATTTTGATTCATTTTTCTAAAAGATATATTCCTATTCTCATCTTCCTTCATCTTTAGTCTCTTCTTTTTTTGAAAGTTCCAAAACATATAATGGTATTTCTTGCTTTATAATTTCACCTATATATAGACCCGATTCATAATACAAGTTTGTTGTAAAAAAGCAAACATAATTAATAAACTACCAAATATTGATATTGAAGTTTATCATTCTTATTTCTTATATTGTGTGATTGAATTATTTTTGTACTTTGAATGTTTACAGTCTGCAAATACGAATAATCATCCTCATCATCTTCAGCTACAAGAAAGTGGAAGTCTAGTTAATGGCCACCAAGTACTCTCTCACCACTTCCCACAAGACCCTAACCCTAACCACCACCATGTTGACACCGCAGCCGCCTCTACCGTTGATCCGGCCAGTCTCAATGGCTCAGCGGCTGAGAGAGCGAGGCTAGCAAAGAACTCTCAGCCGCCTGAGGGAGTCCTAAAGTGCCCACGATGCGACTCAGCCAACACCAAATTCTGTTATTTCAACAACTACAACCTCACGCAGCCACGTCACTTCTGCAAGGCTTGCCGCCGCTACTGGACACGTGGCGGTGCCTTGAGGAACGTCCCGGTGGGTGGTGGCTGCCGGAGAAACAAGAAGGGTAAAACCGGAAATTCAAAGCCTTCCTCCTCCTCACAGAACAAGCAGTCAACGTCTATGGCTAACGCTCCAAGCCCTACAACTACTAGTAATGTCCAGCTACAAACAAATAGTCAATTCCCCTTTTTGCCTACTCTACAGAACCTCACTCAACTCGGTGGTATCGGTTTAAACTTAGCTGCCATTAATGAAAATAATAGTGGAAACGGTAACAATAGTTCAGGTTTCTGGAATGGTTTAGGGTTTTTTCATGGAGCTAATACTTCAGGTCCGGTCATGGCTAACAACAACAACAACAACAACAATGAGAACAACATTATGACTTCTCTTGGATCAGCGAACCATTTTGCTTTGTTCGATCGAACCATGGGATTATATTCTTTACCTAATGAGGGCAACATGGGATTATCTTCTTCCTCAGCTTCTAGGGTTTCTCAAACTGCTCCGGTTAAGATGGAAGAAGCTCATTTGGGTAATATAAGCCGTTCGGTTTCGGGTTTGAGATCTCCAGGGAATCAATCCAATCAATATTGGACTGGTTTGGGTTTTGCCGGTTCTTCTTCTAACGATCATCATCAGCACCTAATGTGAATGTTTCATTCATGGACATCGTCAATGCATGGAAAACCTGAAAGGTATATTAGAGTGGGTTTGTTATACAACTTTTGGTCATTGGATATTTGGATGCATATAGAATCAGGTGTGACAAAGAAGTAATCGTATTGTGTGATTATGAACTTGTTAGATGTGTGAGTGTCTGTCGAGTTTGTGTTTTGTTCAATTCGTATTTCTTCACTCGAAATTTCACAAAATAATAACTAACACACTTCTATGTTATATGTTATGGGTCTGGTTTCTAAGTCTTGCGTACGTGAGAACCAATCAGCATTATTACTCAGATTCTTATCCTTCATTGCTTTTTTTATTACAAAGTTTATGTTATAATCTTTTTTTTATGGGACCAATAGGATAATTCATAAAGTAAAAGGGTGTTACTGACTGACGAATTTAATCATACAATTCCGTGTCTCTCTATAGATAGCAAAGTTTTAAAATTACCAAAAAGCTTATAATTCTCACATTTTTAGGTGCTTTCCCTTTTTTCTTTGTCAGTCTTCTTCTTAATAAAGATCTGTGCACATGTAGATGTACGTACCACGTTATAAATTTATAACCTTTACTTTCCGGCATAAATATTCCGTACATTCATGAAATGATTAAACAAACCTCACTTTGTTACTTTTACATGTGATGTGGATAATATACAGATATTGGTTTTAGTTGACATTGATATATATTTTGACATTAATATATATTTGAAATGCATGGATTCTTTTTTTATAAGATTTGTTTTGTAAATTAATTAAAATTAGGGAATTTTGTTTTCGGCTTAAAACTTATACTTGTTACTTGCTAATCGTCCAAACAATGCCTCCATAATATATTCATAACGCTTTGTTCAGATGAGTTAGATCTGTTCTGTCTAACCATTTGTGCAACAACTTTGTGGTTTAAAATTTATTCAAAAAAAAAAAAACTATAGATGTTTTCATACACGTCTCTTTAAACCATCTATTGCTAAATTTCGAAGACATGGATAAACATCAGTAAGTAATAGTATTACGATCGAGTTTCAAACTTTCACCCTAATTACTTTGTGGAAAATGGATGAAGTATAGATATCGTGTTGTTACGAATTGAATATAGCTGCAAGATTTGTTTTTGAATTTTTTTTTTTTTTTTTTGCTAAATTATGGTACTGTCGAGACTTTGTTTTAGAGATGCAAGATTTGAGCTCACTAAATGATCCACTCAAGTTTTGATTAACCAGTGTTCTTAAAACCAGTAGAAATTTAAAAAACATTCACTTAGTTTTTAGCAAACACGAACGTAAACTCAAAATCCATTCGTAAACTCCGCAAAATCCATTCGGATGCGTGTTTAATTATAATTTCTTGACTTACATAATTTTTTTGGTAAACCAATTGTTCATGCAATTGCAAATACATTTCAGTGGAAAAAGCAATGTCAAATTAAAACTGCAAGCAATGGAATCCCAATTCGATTAACATCCTCAACGTCAAAGATAAACGGGCTTGCTACAATGGGCTTTAGACCCTATATCTTAGTGTAAATTTTAAAGGTATTTTTTATCTCTTATTTTTCCTCAAAAATGGCCTTTTAATCTTTGTAGGTCAAAACATCTTTGCACAACAACAACAAAACTTTGTAGGTCAAAATGTCAAATTGCTAGAAACAGGCTTTTTTTATATTCAAAAACAACTTTAAAAAAAAAAAAAATTTGGACGAAGAATTGACAAATTTGATTTGGTGGCAAGTCCCTCATCGATGACGCGGCATCCAGGAGAATTTTATAATACTGCTCAAAACAAAGACCATAAATAATATCCAACTTAAAAAATCATATAATTCTAGGGGTTATGCAATGCGTCAACTATAGAAATAGCGAAAATATTTATAGAGAAATGAATGACATGATAAGAAAAAAAAAAAATCATTTTCTAAAAAGAATCTGAGAGATTATTTCCATCCTCCTTCAACCTTTGAGGTTGAAGTTCTTGTAATGGAGAGAGAGAGCTTTAATGTAACGGACTATGACCCCACAGCCGTCCGATGAGCGGACCATCCTCGCCGGCCAATCAAATTCCGACGATGGATGACTCTGATGAAGACGTGAACACGAGGGTTAACATTCAAGAAGACAAAGTGGATCCACTTCCTGATGACAGATCGAAGTTGGAGGAGAGGCGGAAGCGAATCGCCTCTGCTTCTGAAGAGCTGAAGCGGTTAAAGTCGTTATCTACCGCTAAGAATCCGACAAGAAACGGGTCAAAGTCAACCTTAAAAGGGCTAATAACGTTCATGGAGGCGGCTGAAGATGGTTGGATCACCGTGGAGAGACGGTTTGATAAGGCGACGGCTGATACTGATGGGTTGCTGATCCGTTCAAGTTTTGGTGAATGCGTAGGTAAATCTGTTGAAGAATATAAGATTTTAAGTTTTATGGGATGATTACAGATCAAAATAAATAGACAATTAATAGTATATATCACTCAATATTTTATATTTACTCCCTATGTCGAATATTTCTAACGACTGAAAATATGGATTCTAACGTCGAATATAAAATATATGTAGGCTGCGTTACTCATTGCAAAGTGGTTTTAAGTTGGGAAATCGTGCTTTTAAAATATGACGATTTTATTTATTGTTCATTATTGGTTGCTAAATGGTTTTGAGTTGAATCAATTTTTTTATTAGGTTTTACTATTTTGAATCAAACAATTCAGGGATAAACTCAAAGGAATTCGCTTTGGAATTGTTCGACACATTGGCTAAACGAGGATATGTGACAAGGGATATGATTAATAAAGCTCAACTAAGGGAATGGTGGGATATTATAAATGATCAAAGCTTCAAATCATGGCTTATGTTGTTCTTCGACATGTAAGGTTTCTTGGTGATTAATTTCTTTTTATTTCTTTGGAGAATGAATGTAAAAGTTGAAACAAAAAGTGTTTGTGAAATGTAGGGTTGATAAAGATGCAGATGGAAGAATAACACTAGACGAAATTAGAGAGGTAAAAATAGGGTTTACAGAGTTAATTTCTAAAATGGTTTTGATTACTAACTTCTTCTTCTTCTTTTTTTACTTATGTTTTCTTCACAGTTTATCACTCTTATTGGGTCTGCTAATAATCTGTCTACCATCATCGAGAAGGCTGATGAATATGCAGTACTGATAATGGAAGAGTTTGACCCACATGGATTTGGATACATCTCGGTAAGCTTTTGTGTACTAATAAGCTCGTTTTTACGGAAGCTTCGAGGGATTAGATTAGTCATTTGTTAATTATGAAAATACCGGAAAACAAAGATTAATTGCAAGATTATTATGAAAATATTAAAATGAAACTAGGTCTTGTTAAATTCGTTCGGTATTAGTAGACAGAAAACGAGACAAAAGCATCTAAAGAAGCACAAAATTTATACAAACTATAAAATATAATTTATTTTTTTCATCAAAGTTGAATAATCATTACAATAAAATACTAAAAATATTTGATAATAATTATTTAAATAAAAGGCTGCATCATTTTGCATTAATTTCCCAATAAATTAATTTTTGTAATGATTTTGAAACAGATGGATGGTTTTGAGAAGCTGCTTATGCAACTGGAAACAGAGTGTGTAATAAAAACAAGTGCTCCTGAGGAAACAAACAAGCCTATGATGTCTCAACGGAACACATTAAAGAGTTGGTACAGAACTATATTGAAGAAATCACATCTTCCTCATTGATTCATTGTCTGAAGAAAATAATATCAACGAAGAAAAAACACCGAAACAAGATTACGAACATCATTTTATATTTTCCGAGCTTTGGCTGAAGTGCATTTTTGTGGAATAGATTTATTGGAACATTCCACATATTCCACTTTTTTAAAAGGAAAAGAAAAGCAAATCCTTCTTAAAATTTATTCCTTTCATTCCACCTTCTAAATCTAGAAAAATTAAAAAAAATGAATAGAATTTCATTATTACACTAACAATTTAGTTTTTCATTCCATATTATTTATCATTCCATTTTTTTTTCTATTCCTTTTAATTCTTTTTAAACAGAACCAGTTACAGCCTTTGATTTTATTTAATTCCATTGTACATGTTTCAAAATCTTGTCCTTTTGGTGTAAATTTAACTAAAATTATAAAAACTGTAAAAGCAAAACCCCTAAACTCAAACTCAGATCAGAGAGACTTGATCTTCAACACCCAAACCAGACTGTTTCTGTTTGTCATTAAAACGGCTAAAGCGGTTAAGCAACTGCGCCGCTTTGCGTTTCCCTCTCTCACTACCATTCTCAGCCATTTCTATCAAAAGACTCATAATCCCTAACTTCTCAGCTTCAACCAAATGCTTCTCATCCCACGAACACAAATGCACCAAAACCGAAGCCGCGTTTTCTTTGTTTCGCGTTGAGCCGCTTCTAATAAAACCAACCATAACCGGAACCGCATCAGCCGCACCAACCACCATTTTCCCTTCAGGGTGACTCGATAGTATAGCCACTATAGCAAGTGCTTCATCAACCATTCTGCTTTCCGGTTCGGTTAACAACCGCATTAAAACCGAAACTAAACCGTCTCTCACGGCTTTAGCTTTGTTCCCTTCGAATATACAGAGGTTGAACAGCGCAGCCGCCGCGTCTTTCTTGCCTCTCCGTGATCCTTCGCTAAGCAAGGTCACGAGAGGCGGGATCGCTCCCGCGCCGCCGATCAGCACTTTGTTCTCGTGTATAACCGAGAGGCTGAAAAGCGCGGCCGCCGCGTTTTCTCTAGCTTCCATGCTACCTTTCTTGAGCACATGAACGATACCAGGAACCGCTCGAAACGTGGAAGCGATCGTCTCTTTGTTCTCTTGGAGTATCGAGAGGTTAAGAATCGATGTCACGGCGTGTTCTTGAGTCTGTGAGTCATCATCGGACGTTGTGAGGAGACTCACAAGAAGAGGGATCGCGCCTGAAGCAGTGATGGCTACTCTGTTTTGGTTGTTCTGTTTCGCTAGAAGGCGGATTTCTCCTGCGGCGGATCTTTGCTCTTCGGGGATTCGTGAAGCGAGCTTCCGTAGAAGTTCTTGGATCATGTTATGTTCTTCAGAAGGAGGTGAGGAAGAAGATGGTGATGATGATGAGGCATTACTACTCGGTTGAGAGTTGCTGACACGTTTCGGAGGTTCGATGCCGTTTGATTCACACCATTGGTCTATAAGACTTCTTAGAGCATAGTTCGGCGTGACGGTATCGCTTGTAAGCGTTTCTTGCGTCTTTGGACACGTCGAGTTTCCTCCTTCAAGCCATTTCTTGATGCATTCACGGTCATATGTCTATAAAAAGAATCAGAAGAAAAGACAATCAACAAAACTGGAAACTTACGTAACACGAAAACGGAAATGATGGTTTTTAACCTGTCCTGAAGAAACAATCACCGGATCATTCATCAGCTCTAATGAAATCGGACAACGGAAATCTTCAGGCGGGATCGGGATGTTTCGGTTTCCGTCTTGTGACTTGGAAAGTTGAGAGTTTTGTTGTCTCAAGGGAGGAGCATGATCTAAGTTAGGGTTATAGCTTTGCATAAAGTCCTTGATCTTCTTGAGAAGCATCATCATCTTCTCAAAGCTTTCACCAGGATCTCCGCCACTGGAACTAACCAGATCAAGTATAGCTAATGATTCTTGCGTAAGGTCTGTTATAGTCATGAGCTGAAGCTTCTCAGCGACTCTCTTGAGTATCTCAGAGTCTGTCACAGTACCGTAAAGAGATACAAGATCCTTGTATAACTCATCATCAAACGTATCTCCGCCTTTTCCTATTGCTCTTCTTAATTGGATTAGAACAAGCTCTACCTAAAAAAAACAAATGAAACCACACAAACAAAAAGCTTGATCAAGAACAAGAAAATGTGAAAATGAGAATGTATCAAAAGACCAAATCATGAGCAAGAGAGAAATGTTTTACTTTAGTACCTGTTCTTTAAGTTCATCTGAGATTTCAAGATTTTCATAAGGAATCTCACTCAATGCTTGTTCTAATAGAGCTGTCACTTTCTGGAATCTAATCATGATTTGGTCTCTCTCCAACACCTAAATAGGCAAAAAGATTCAAAGACAATACAAACTAATTTAGCATAAATAAAAAGATTACTGAAGAATCAGTAAACAAATTAACAAAAATTTCCCAATAAACATATATGCTTCTCTATTCCCGACAATGGCATCAAGAACTTATAATAGTAAAAATCACCAAATTTATACTAATTTTAGCATCAAACACGAACAAAAATGGACGCAATCAATTCTTAACAAAGGACAAAATATAGTGCTTTTCAATTAGAATCCCTAAACACGATAAAACTGATTTGAGAGATTTCGATTTCGTTTCCGATTACAATTTCGATCTCGATTGTACAACGAGTGATCCTTCTCTATTGAATCAGTATCGCGAACCAACAGATCTCAATTGCAAGAAAAAAAAATCTCCAAAAATCAAAATCAAAAGAGGGAGATCGAGAAAAATACTCACACACCAGGTAAATTTTGCTAACTTGGCTTACAAAAGTAAGCAGATCCTTAGCGTGAGAAAGCGATTCCTTGAGAGATAACAAAGCCTTAACCAGTTCATCAGGGACAGACTCGTTACAGTCTCTGATCTCTTCGAGCATAGGAAGAAGAAGCTTCAATCGCCTGGAGAGATTGACGCACTGTTTCTTCATCGGTGTACGGTAATCTGAAATCGAAGCGATCTCGTTTACTGATTCGATTAAGGTCTGTGCTAACTCGTCTTTCTCTGATTTCGCCATTTTTTCTGATGTAGGAACTTTTTCTACACGCAGAGATGGTCACGAGGTTTGACTCAAGCATGGAGAGTAAACTGAGAAGAGGAAGAAGATGGAGTCGTCGTCTCCATTGACTTGTAGTGAGAGAAAGACGATGTTTGAGTTTAGAGAGAGAGACCTCTCTCTCATCATGAGAGTACATATGAAACGTATAACAGCTCGGCTTCCGGGTCGGATTTCGTTGGTTGGGGTCGGGTTTGGGTGGTTAAGGGCCCAAAACTTATCCTCTATTTCAAATTTAAGGATTTGATTTGGTAATGAAATTTTCTTTTTAATAGCATTTGATTGGTAATCATTGTGGTTATATACTTTTAACAGAAAATAATGATAATTTGGTTATATGTTTCCTTTTAGATGAAAAAGATATATATACACACACACTCGTTGTATAATCGAAATTCAATTACCAGATCCCATATAATCGAAAATCATTACCAATTTCGGTTTTCCATTTCTATTTCAATTCCGATTATACAACGGATTTAATAGGTTTATCTTTATTGGGCTTATTGTTAAAGCCCAAAAATAAGAAATAAAACCAGAACCCTGGTAGGCTTACCAAAGTATAGCCCTTTTGATCTGTTCGCCAACTTCCTCACAATACAACTAGTTACGGTTAAGGGTGAGTAGATAGATTAAATTACTAACTACTAGAATCTTAGTCGAAAAGTTAGCTAATTTTGTATTTTTCTCAACTCCATATAAAGACTATTTTCAGCCACCTAATTTGCGTATAAGCAAAACCCCATGAAAGCTACTTACCAATTAAAAATATAATTAGCTATCTTAATCTGACTTCCTATTGGACAAACACGACTCTTGTTTATTTCTGACCACTATTTATTCATATTAGGTGGAGACTGTATCTATATTTTAGAATAGCATTTTCGAGAGGTCTTATTTGAAAATTCATCAAACGTGTTCACTTTCGATATTTCTTAAATAAAGTATGTTTAGATATTTGCAAAGTTATATCTGCCTGATATCTCAAATGAATCATTATCATTCAAAACAAAATATAATTGTATTTTCATTTAGATCCCTGGCCTACATAGATAATTCTGATATAAAACATTCGTCCACACTGAATTTACAGATTCTTAATAGTATTTGGAAGAATCTTATGGAATCTGATGTCACTTTATTTAACCTTTGTGATATATGTCATATGTTATTAAGCCGTACAAGTTATAGAAGCTCAGTGACAGGATTCTCTGGTAGTATCTTGCTTGTGCTAACAAGCTAAGAATTTCTTTGATGAGTTCTTTTACGTCTAGAAAAAATGAATGTTGTGTGAAAAGAAACATTAATACTTTCTGATCTTATAAAATTGTCAACTAGAATCTGAAATTCTAATAATTTACCCAAAATTATAAATGCAGCGTGTTCAAAATCAAAGTTGTTTACAAGATTTTAATATATAGGCTTATTAGAAAAATTCCCTGTGCCAAAATATGTTACACTTCTTTCATTTAGTGGGACACTTGTCTTTAGTATATACTATCAGCGATGAAATGTCTACTTTATGAAAGTTGATTCTTATTTTCAACCAATTAAGCACAACGAAATAAATAGATTATATAAATATTTGGTTAAATTAAATTTATTAAATATGTTTGTTGCAAATTTGTTTGTTATTAATGAAAATATGTTTCCAGTATCAAATGGTTAACTATAACCAGTAGAACAAAATCATTAGAGGAATATCATTTGCTTAAAAATTTAAGTTATAAAATGTGTTGCTGTGTCTATATTGGGTGCTACTTTTCAGAAATTCCAATATGTTGTAAGTTGAAATTTTCAGTTGTGTTGTATGTTTTGGAAACCGTCAAATTTAAAATGGTAATCTCTTCTGTTGAACGATGATGTATACAACAACAAAAAGCTAGTCTTAGTTTGTGTATCCGATTAAATATGTTTTTCTGATTAGTAATTGTGATTTGTTTACTGATTTGCCAACCTCAAAGACCTATAATATGCGAATCTGTTTTTGTTGTTTAGTAAGTTGTTTTAACCAAAAAATTGCTGCATGCCGACATATAGATCCACCAAACAATTTTTGCAACGCAAGTAAAATACTTGCTGATGTATATACTTAACTTCAGATCCCGGTAAATAAAAATTCTTATATATATTAACTTTATTTTTCACTGTTTATATAAAGCAAAGAATAACATTTACTTATAGGTTTATAGAAATCGTTTTTAAATATAGTTTAAAAATGTTTTTAAATATAATGAAAGCGCCAAAAAGTAGTACTCCAAGTTAATTACTTCGCACCGACGTAATGAATCCGCTTGGTATAATTAATTAAACTGTTTATGCGATATGATGATATATACAAACTTACTTCTTGCATAGCTAGAAATTACATCTAAAATTGTAATAACTATAGTACATTTCACTCTAGTAAGTTTTTTCATTATTATTATATAAAAAAAACACCATATAGCTTATATAAGGATGATTATTCGTTGACTTTGTGAATCATTCCTCGAGTTATTTGCTAATTAATACTTCCTCTGTTTTATAGTAAGTATTATTTAGAGAAAATGTATATGCATTATAATTAGATTTATCTGGATATATTTTCAGTTTAATATATCCTGATACATTGTAGATATATTTTCTTCAAATGACATTTATTATAAAACGGAGAAAGTATTATTTTGTGAATTGTTTTACAAAATAATGATGACTCATGAGATTGTCTAATTATGACTTTAAAATTAGGTCATTTCACTTGTTTAGCCAATACAACTGCACAAATGTGAATGTATATATGTAGCAAAGGAGTGAAAACGAAATCATGAAAGTGGGGAAAAAGATTAAACAGAAAAGATAAAAATCGAAGGAAAATAAATGAACGAGACATGGAAGTAAGAAAAATGTCGGTGAAAATAAAAAGAAGAGCAAAAAAATTGTCGAGTCTGACAAAGCTCGCGTGCCGATCAATTATTTAATATTCGTATTTGTCTCGATTTACAATTTCATAAAGTTGAGTCCAAAAATTTCTGCCCCTTTGGTGTTATCAACAAACTCCATCTACCGTACGCTTTCTATCTATTTAATTTTATCTTCTCCGATTATTTTAATATTTTTCCCACAAAACCATACATCTCCCTCTTTATATTTTATTTTTGTAGGATTATTCGTTTACCTAAAAAATAATAACAGATCAGAATAAAATCAAATCGTGCAAAAACAAAAGATTGAGGCATGAGTCACTTCTTCATTAGCTTCAAGCCTTCAACACGAATTTGAGATATTTAGAGTATCTCCAACCTTACACTATTTTTAATTCCAAAATAAAGTAAATTTAAATTCTATTCCATATTTAAAGTAGATCTAAACTCTACTCCATTTTGGAGTTAAACTTTTTTATTTGCAAATTAACCTTTTAAATTTAAAATAATTATATTTTATACTATTTAATATTTATAAAATATATTATAAAACTGATAATTCTAAATATTTAAACACTGAAATTATTCCTAAAAAATTACAAAATATAATAAACTTTAAAATACATAATAAATGCTGAAATTAAGATAAACAATATAAATAAATTGAAAACAACAAATACAAAAAACATTAATGATAATTTTTTTAGTAATAGTAATGTTTAAATAAAAATTGCATATGTTTTTCTTTTTGTGATGTTATGTAATTTTTATTATTTGATAAATATTTAAGTTATAGTTTTTGAAAGAAATTGTAAATAATAAAATAAGTAGAATTTATTTGTAAATTTTAAAACTAAAAGTATTTATAATAAAATCGAATAAGAATCTATTTAGAATATTTTTTTTGAAGTAGAAAATGAAAAAATATATTGGAGCAAAACACAACTCTATTTTATAATTATTTTATTTTAGAGTAAAAAATGAAGAAATACGTTAGAGATGATATTAGCTATTGACATGACGTTTCTATATATATATGGGTATCATTTTTTAAGAAATAGTAAAATCATAATACCGTTTCTGGGAGAGTTCTGATGAATGTTTTTTTATCAGAAAAATGATTATCAAACGACTGTGGAAATAGTTATTTCACCTTCAATCACTCGAAGTCGTATTATATTCTTCGCTATTTTTCAAATTTACAATGATTACCAAAATATGTAAGCATCACCATAATAAATGGAAATCAAAACATCATAAACATATATAAAGCGCTTGTAATGGTCATAGTAGACAAGAATTTAATTATGATCTATTTGATTCATCATATATTCATATATATTCAATGATTTAATACAAATTCATACTAAGATACTAAATCAAGATATTAAATAAGGATCTGATGGTAGTTGAGTTTTTTTTTTTTTGTGTGTGAAGGTAGTTGAAAAATTATCGAAAGGGAAAAACTATAAAACATTAATGTCTTATTTATTATCAGAAATCCTGGATGGGATAATTAATTTCATAACAGCGATTTATATATACGTACCAAACATGGAATCTTATTTCTGTGCCCATATTTCAATTAACTACGTTTGTAATTTGTAGAAAAATATAAAAAATGGTGGACCCCAAAATGAAATAAGATCCTCATGACAAATGCTAATCTGACACACAAAAAGTTATGTCGCCATGGTATTTATGCATGACACAAAAATGAAATGAAATATGTGATTAATAATAATAATATATAGATACATAAATGAGACATGGTTTTTGCCTTAAAAAAAATATGAGACAGGATTAAGCTCCCGTACCACATCACGCTTTGGATCCATAGTAAACGCTATTACGACTAATCCATGATAAAAATAATAATTTGGTCAACTATATTTAGAATATTTCCATTCACTAATATGAAAATACTATGTGAATATATATAGATATTATGCGTGGTGGTTAATCTAAGTAAACGCACCCATCACTAAAAAAACACATCAATGAGAAACCTAACCAAAACACAAAAATTACGTATATTCAATACTTCTTTTAGTAGTACTTAATTTGCAAATAGTTTTAAGTGAAATAACTTTTTCTTTTTTTCATTAGTAAATATGAGTACAAGTACCTAGTGAGAAAACTTATTGTTTCGTGTCAATAATTTGATAGGACAGTAAATAGCTCAGTGGGGGATCAATATATAGAGTTATATTATTGTACAATACATGAAGTATGTTTATCAAAAAATCCAAAAACTAATCATGGAACATCTATCTAGCTAGTGTTTTCCAAAATTTATTTGCTGAAGTCAGAAAACGCTAACAGTTTCGGACGCAAAAAATTATGTCGGCTAGAAAATTTAGTGAATATATGAAACTGGTGAAAATCGGCGACACAGTCCGTTTTAGTGAAAACAATATCAAATTGAAACGTTTGGTTTATTGTTTACGCAACTATACAAAATAAACCATTCTAAGGTCAAAACATTTTGGCCAATGTTCCAAATAGACGTACGTACTAGTATCTAAATTTCTTGATTGAAACGTCGTGTTGTTGGAAACATTAGATAAGATTAGATACACGTACATCTGGTTATAGATGCAACATCGCCAAGTGATGATTGCTGATTCGTCCATCTTAAACTATTTTCTTTACTATAAATACCCAGAATATCTGCTTTAAAATATCTGAATCTATTTAAGATCAAAGAATAGAGAACATTGACCGACATTAAAAAAAAAAATAGAAAACAATATGTTAATATGATTATCCATATCCCAATTTAACCATGCAAGCTTGACACCAACAAAGATCTTAAACAGAGTAGAGAAAACTACTATGACTTGACTAATATTAATCTGGATAACCACTATTTCAAGAAAACTATGTACGAGGACGCAAACAGCCAGTACAAGAAATATATATCTGCAGCATCATCACAATATTTATGACAGATCTGGTCGTCCATAAATCGCTGACAGAGTTGCATGACTTTTTCCATCTTTTTTCTTGGGTTAAAAACAGAGTTGCATGATATTTGCAATAAAAAAAAAATTAATATAAGATTTATCGTAAAAAAAAATTAATACAAGATTTATCACAAAAATAAAAATAAAAAAAAGGGTGAAACAAGCTCTTGATGGTGAAGTCTTCTACATCGGGAAGCGAAAGTCATGAAATGGCCACTTGGACTCCGACGAGAAACATTTCAAGTGGGGATGCTTCTTGGCTTTTAGTATCTTCTTGACCACAAATTTATACTAAGTTCTTTGTCAAAAAAAAATTATACTAAGTTCTAAATAATTACGTGCCGAATAAATTATCCACTGTATACATATTTTTTGTCTTTAGAAATATCTAAGAGAAGCGTTTATGATTCGATCTTTGCACATTGCTGATCACAATCAATTTTTTTTTTTTTTTTTTTTTTTTTTAACAACTGATCACAATCAATTTTGCACCATGGTTATATTGAACAAATACTTTAAATTTTAAAATACAAGCTGATATAAAAATGAGTTTGTCATTTCTATTTTCATTTCAAAACATCCAGCAAAATGGCTGAAAATTCTGTTTCAATAGACGTAAAATATAATGTGGTATATAAAAATAATCTATACAAATATTTTCAAAATATATAATTTCTTTTTATAACATTAATTGGAATTTTGTTGTTAGTTACAAAAGAAGTACGAATGACATGAATATAACTAGAAGAGGATGAATTTTTGATAGGATTATCTGAAATATTTAGTTACTAGCGTTTAGTTATTCGTCTTTGCTAATTGCTAGAGTTTGCTTGGTAGAACAAGTGTGTGATTGTGGTATATCTAAGTTTATAAATTAATGACAATTTTTTTAAAAAAAAATATCTAAGCTGTTTATGTTCCAGGATTTAAGTTAGAGATGTGTTTGACTTGTTGAATGATAGAAGTTGGTTGATGTTAAATTAATGAGTATGTTAATTATGTGAAGTAATTCCAATCAAACAAGGTTTCGTTGGAAGTTTGTCTAAAGTGATGTTTTTAGTGAATAGTATTTTGAGGACGTAAGCATTTTACAGAATCTCATTAATTGCTTGTGTGCATGTTTATTTTTTAAATATTAGTAAATAATAATTTACCATTTGAACAGAAATAAATTCTAAATATTTGTTACAAACACTGCAATCCCACTATCGATCTTTGGCAAAATCATAGAAATATGATTAGGTTGAGAAAATATCTGACAAGCTGCCCGAAATCACAGAGTAACTGTAATCAAACTGACACGGGCAAATGAAAATTGCTGCCCGTCGGGCAATCCTCAAACTCCAATAGAGTCGTCTCTTTATCTCCGTCTTTTTTCTTTTTTTCTTTCTTAATTCAATTTTCCAGAAAAGAAAAAAAAAGATTTTAAATTAATATCTCAATGGCCCTATCAATGTGTACATAAATGTGAAACTTCCCTCTTCTTCCTCATTGTAATCCTCAAAGCCAAGAGGGCCAACCACCGTTTCTGCGTCACGGTGGCGCTTTATTCTCACGGCGGAGCGCCTCACCGGTGGCAGACGGTGTCGTGATTCGTATCCTAAAACAAGCTTTTCATCACCTCTCTTACTTATCTGAGAAGCGGAGAGATGGGGCAGAGTATGAGCTGTGGAACGAGACCTGAGCACGGGATATTCGCCTCCGTGCAGTGCGGCGATATTGTTACTGTGCGGCGTGTGATGGCGGCGGATCCGAGTCTTTTGCATCAAACTACTCCTTATGATCGTCACTCCGTTCTCCATGTCGCTGCTGCTAGTGGTCAGATCGAGGTTAGTTTTAGCTCTTTTCTCCGGGATATCGCCGGAATCTGGTGGTTTATGTTCCAGATTCGTGAAGTTTGAGCTTCGATTTCTGAAAATTTTCTGGTTAGATTCGATTTTCACTGACGCATTTCTGATGTTTCCTTTTTTTTTGTCTCCCACTTTTTGCAGATTTTGTCTTTGTTACTGGAACGATTTACGAATCCAGATATGTTGAATCGTCACAAGCAGGTTTAAATAACATCTGATTCGCATTGATCTGGTTGTGATTTGTATTATAGTATTTCTGGAAACTTTGAGCTGATCTCTCTCTCTCTGTGATTCTTCTTGTAGACTCCGCTAATGTTGGCTGCGATGTACGGGAGGATCTCATGCGTGAAGAAGCTCGCTGAAGTTGGAGCTAATGTACGTTTTCTTCCATCAGATTCGGGGGACTTAGATCGAAATCTTTGGTTGATCTTTCTTTGAAAAATCTGCAGATTCTGATGTTTGATTCCGTCAATCGAAGAACATGCTTGCATTACGCAGCGTACTATGGACACGCTGATTGTGTTCAAGCCATTCTCTCTGCTGCTCAGTCAAGTCCCGTTGCTGTTCATTGGTGAGAGTCTCTTTTACTAATCTTGGACATTTTGCATTTTCCATCGAAATGAAAAGTTAACACTTTTTTTGGATTTTTCAGGGGATACGCTCGATTTGTGAACATAAGAGACGACAAGGGAGCAACACCGTTGCATCTAGCTGCTCGGCAGAGACGTCCTGAATGTGTGAATGTTCTCTTGGACAGTGGCTCTCTCGTTTGTGCATCTACAAGCGTATACGGGTAATCAAAATCTTTCTTATAGATATCAACATTTGTTAGAAGTTTCATTCCATTGGAAGACTAATCATCCAAGCTTTTGTTGAAACAGTTCTCCAGGGAGCACACCTCTTCATTTAGCAGCAAGAAGCGGATCTATCGATTGTGTCAGAAAATTGCTTGCTTGGGGTGCTGATCGTCTTCAGAGAGACGCTTCTGGGTACATAAATGATCTCTACTGATGTTGTGCTAGTTTCAGAACATAACCAGTTTATCATCTTGAAAAGGATGTATTTTGAATCTTGAAATCTCTAATTTGCAGGAGGATACCTTATGTGGTTGCTATGAAACACAAGCACGGAGCATGTGGAGCTTTACTTAACCCATCCTCTGCAGAGCCACTAGTTTGGCCATCGCCATTAAAGTTCATCAGCGAGCTTAACGACGAGGCGAAACTTCTCCTGGAACAGGCTCTAATGGAGGCAAACAGAGAGAGAGAGAAAACCATACTCAAGGGAACTGCTTACTCGATGCCATCACCGTCTTTCTCCGATACTGATGATAACATGTCAGAGGTACTACTATTTATACAACCCTCTTAGCTTTCACCTGTTTTGTTTGCATTGGTAGTACTAATAAAAATGTGTCTATAGGTGAGTGATACAGAGGTTTGCTGCATTTGCTTTGAGCAAGTATGCACGATCGAAGTGAAAGACTGTGGTCACCAAATGTGTGCACAATGCACACTTGCACTCTGCTGTCACAACAAACCGAACCCGACGACTTCGACCGTGACTCCACCGGTTTGTCCGTTCTGTAGAAGTGTAATCGGCCGGTTAGTCGTCGCCCGGAACAACAACGACAAGAGCAAGAGCCAAGATGAAGTCGTTGTTGATCGCGAGGCAGGTGATATCAGCTCCTCAAAACTCAGGAAGCATAGAAAATCGATGAACCTCGGTGAAGAAAGCAGCAGTTTCATGGGACTATCGTCCATTGGATCGTTCGGTAAGATAACCGGCCGTGGCTCGGGGAGGATCGCCGCCGAGAACGAGCTGATGGACAAACCGATACTGTGAGGCATTTTGGGGGAAAATTTGAAAACTTTGAGGGGTGAAATTGTCAATGTATAAAATATAGCCGATAAATTTATGTAGAACTTTTGTTGTTGGGGAGGGAAGTTGAAATAAGGGAAAAAGAAGAAGTGAGTTTCTGTGTGTAATGGCTGCAAATGATTTGTTGTTTCTTTGATAAGTTTGGGCAAAAAAAAAAAATTGGTTTTGTTGTTATTGTTATTATTTGGTTACTTGACATGAAAGGGAAACTCATAATTTTCTTTGTCTTTTGTCTTTTGTCTTTGTTTCACCTTTTCTGGTTGCTTTGTTCTCTAAATTGGTATTTTTTACCAAGAAAAGTGAAATTAGACTTTTCGCCAAAATGAATTATAAAAAATCAAAAAAGGATAATTTTAAATGGGAACAAAAATGTATTATGGGAGTGGCTGCTAAGTTGCCAAAGGTCTCTCGTCTCGGTGGGTGTTTGGGGGATCGTTGACCCCACATGATCCCATCACTTTCTTTATCTCTCAACTTGTGGTCAGTGTCACCAACAAAATATAAATAATTTTTTGATTTTTGGTGGCTCTTTGTTTTTAACTCAAATATCTTTTTAACATATTAGTCAAATTGTTACAACTAGTAGTATACACATGGTCACTTTTTGTTTATTCGGTCGTGGACAAATTATTTTATACGTCTAAGAAGAGTCAAAGTAGGGAAAGACCGATTCGGTGGTTAATCGACTTTAAGAAATATAAAACCTAGTGATTAAAATGATAATATAAAATTAGACAAACGAAGAAAAGGAGTGCTATATTTTTCTTTTTTGCTTTTGATAAATCTAAACCGTGTTTGAGCCGGAAGATTAGGTCGAGTCTATGTCGAGAAAGAGAGAGACAAATTGTAAAAGAAAAAAAGTGAGAGGTAATCACAATTAGGTAATCAGAGCTTGGTTCATTCAATCGCTAATCTCAATTGTGCAACTTATCATGCCTTGACGCTTTGAGGTGTCAAGTCTAACTCTCAGAACCCACTTTTGGTACTAAATTTACCTGATTATTCCACCCTAATCTCAATTCACAAGTGTGCAATTTATGATGCTTTGGCGTGTCAAATTTAACTTGTAGGACCCTTTTTGGTACTAAATCTACTTAATAACTCCACCCCATAATCACATTTGACATTTCAGTTTAAGCTCGTAGGACCCAATTTGGTTGCTGAATCTAGTTCTCGGGTTATGTATGGGACCCGACCGGGTTGATGAAGTAGATTTTTATTAGATTAGATACCTGGAAATTAAAACTCAAAATTTTCTTCGATCGATATACTTATTACGTTTAATTTTCATTTTCCAATACGACAAGATTTAATTATTTAAATAATGACAAATTGTTAAGTTAGTATTACGATTACCAAATGACAAAAGTATATCAGAAAGAGTTAAGATTAGACAAACGAAGAAAATGAGTGCTATCAGAATGCACATATTCTTAGAAAAGTCTTTCTATATTAATCTGAGTCTATCAGAAATAGGAATATTATTATCCGAGACTGCATCGTCAACACAAAATAAAAAAGATTTGGGATAAAAAAAAATAAGCTCGATAGAACCCACCTCCCATTAATATAAGTAGAGAAGGAATGATAATTTGGAATCCAATCCAAAAATCTTTAGAAAAAACAGCAAGAAAAGACATAATTCACTAAAAACTTCTGTTAAATTTTAGGAGTTTTTACTTTCACCCCAGCTTAATATTTTTGTTTAGACATTTTGTTGTAATTTCAAAACTCAAACTAATAAAAGATCTTATTCTCTAAATTTCCAAACTATTTTTTACTTATTCGATTGAGTGGATTTCTAGTTCAACAATTAGAAAGAGTTAAAAGACATGAAATTCAAAAAAGTGATTTTGGTTGATTTCAGCTACAAAAGAATTTTTTATTCTAAATGGATTTACCTTGAATTAGCTAGAACTTCAGGTAAACTCACATGCAACCAAACAAAAATATCACATGCAATTTTAACCTTGAATTTGAACTATTTCAAAATATATATATATATATATTAAGTTTTATATTTGAACATTATATATTTCAAGTTTAGGTTATGGATAATGACTTTCTGTTTAGTTTAATTCATACGATTAATGAAAAAATTATGGAAGATTCACACTATTTCTTCCGCCCTACACTAATTTTATCCACTCTGAACTCCTCCATTTGGTCGGAGATTGAGTAGAGTTTAGTGTTTTGACATAGTCTCGTCATTATTTGATGGGACAAAATCGCATATGTGTATGTTTACTGTTCGATGAATATATATGGTTGGTATTATTAGGGATTAAAATGACAAGTGTGAAAGTAGATATTTCATATTTGAATTGAGACGTTGATTTAGCATCCCCTGAAAACAATATGACACGTTTGAACTTTGAAGCAGTTGATTGTGGAGTCTTTATGAGTCTATGACGAGCGACCACGAGTACTTGTAAAACAACAAAATTATAGATATTTTCATGTAGTGCGAAAGTGATTGCATTTAGAAACTCATTGGATCATATATTATATCGATTTTATATCAAAATTATCAAAATGTTATATATACTTTTTGGGTAATGAATTCAATTGTAAATTAATCTAACAAACCATTTCGTATATATATAATTTTTCATTCTAGAGTTACTTTGCTAAATTTCAAAGAATTTAATACACTAGATGGTATTTAAGAAAATGACAAACGTGAATTCTGTCAATTTAAGAAAATTATAATGGGTGGGGTTTTGGCTGTATAAATTCGTGGCTTTTAAATATTCCAGCAAAAAGAATAATTTGCATTTTTAATGACAACTACTTCACATATTTCACATTCTAGTTTCATGTTTGATCACGTCAAGTCTCTATTCTTCACTAATACATACTTAAGAGAGAGTATTGTCATATACAGCTTAATAGCTAAATTCATATGAGTGTAATATCATCATTCTGACTTTGTACATTAACATTTAGAATTTAAGTTGGTGGATTAAACTTTTAAAAATCGAAGTTGGAAATTATACAAAAATATGTTAAATCTGAAGTCAGAAAGAGTCTGACATAAACACGTTATTGACTGCTTCACGTAGGTCCCGTACTGTTTCATGTGGCTGCTTCTTATTGTATTTCATGTACTTCTTTAATTATTATGATCATGTCCATTTTATATTATCTACTATCAAAATTATTCGAAGTCAAATCATATATGTGTATCCCCTCCTTCATTATTTTCTTAATTGATTGTTATCGTTCATGCTTCCTCTGTATCTATGTGTTTCGAACTGGTCAATTAAACGGGACAGAACACAATGCTAACAGTTTTGTATAGTAGAGAAAACGTGTGACAAACTAATTAGGTTTCACATTGTTAAAAAGAAACTAATTAGGTTTAACTCCCATTAGTGAGCCTATTTCTATTGGGCTAACATTTTGTTGTTGTCAATATAGTTATAGGGGTACCTTTATAAATGAATTAAATTATATCTCTCCGATAAATTGGTCATCTATCTCTAGCCCAATATTTGTTTTGGGCTGGGATTAACATTATCTCTCACGCAATCTCTTTTATTTGTGTGAAAACACATACTTGTTGTCCTTCAGTGTTGGGTGCTACTGTGAGATTCTTCATGTTATAAACAGTTTTGCTTCATTTAAATATGCATATATATATATATATATATGCAATGAAAATGTTCAAAAAACAAATACATACTCGTTGATATGGGTGAAGTGCATGTTTTTATGAGTTATCGTAACTTGTGAACTTTTCTTTAACTGTTCGTGAATTTGGGTATGCATGCATGGTCAGCCTTAAAAGTCAGGTTCTTAGGGCTAAAAGTTTTTTTGTATCTTTTATTAAAACTAGGTATTTACCTGTGCTACGCTGCAGGATATTTTTCTAGATTTGTATATATTTTTAATATAATAAAATTATTTATATATTTTAAATGAGTATTATATTTATTTTTTATTAGCTTAAGTTATATATTTATATGTTTTAAATCTGAATAAACATTATATATCATTAAGTTTTTTATTTTTTAAAATTATAATCTTCTATCAAATTTGTTTAGCTAACTATCTATAAATGTATATGTAAGAATAAAACAATACATTTTTAAGTACCTTCAAGCTAATGGTAGATGTAATTTATTTTCTCTACTAAATTGCTACTTGATCCTCATTTGAACTTATATAAAGCAAATTACCATTTAAAAAATATTAATTAATATGATTATTTTAAATTATAAAATTTATTTATTTATCAAATATTTATTATAGACATATATTTCTAAAACTACCAAATTATAATCAATAACATTCATATCAAAATCATTACTATTACTTTAGAACTAAATAGAAAGTTCTATTTGAACTGTTGAAATATCAATTTAGTTAAAGTTAAATAATTCAATTTTGGTTATTATAAACATATTATAACATATTATACATATTGGAGTCACAAACCAAGTTCTCCCTCCTTCTTACTCAAACAATGTCGTCCATACTCCAAGCTGGGAGTTCACTTTGGCTATTGTTGATCACCAACTGCTCATTTACTTTATAGTTGGTCATTGAAAACTTCTTTTTGTTTCTTCTTTCAATGAAATATGTCTCATCCACTGTCAGTTTTTCCACAAACATCTACAAAGAAGAAAAAAACAATCTCATGCTTGGTAATTAAGATAATAATATAAAATGAAGATTGTTTCCTTACTTCAACTTCGTCGATTTTAACCTCGTCGCCAACATCAGAAGGATATTTGATGTACAAGAGTAGCACAGAGAAATATGTCTCCTTAAAAACATGTACATCAAAGTAAGTGATGGCAAAGCTACTAACGCATAAGGCCACCACAAATGTGACTCTACCCCATCCTATTAGTGGAATCGAAAGAGCAACAAGCACAATCCCAAAAACAATGCTGAAAATGATTCCTATTTTGTTGGATGTTGTGTCCATGTCTCTCAGCGACAAAATAAGGCTT